TCAGTTCCTGATGTCGATGTTAAACTTCCAGAAGGAAAATTAAAGGGGGATCTTGACATTGAAGTGACAGGTCCAAAAGGAGACATCAAACCAGCCAAGTTAAAGGTGGACAGTCCAGACATACAGACGGGTGGTGTCGAATGTTCAGGTGCATCCCTCAAACTTCCCACAGTCAAACTACCAACAGTTGACATCTCAGCTCCAAAAGTCGATCTTGACTTCGGTCTCAGCAAACCTAAAGGTGACGATGTGGAAGTTGAACTTCTGAAAGCAGAGGGAGGCAGGCCTTCTTCAGGGGGTAGCTTTGACCTTCCCGAGATCTCCCTCAAAGCCCCTAGTTTCACCCTCCCCAGGTTTGGTGGAAAGTCAAAGAGTGGAGGGCTGGAAGTGTCAGTCCCCAAAGGGGATGTTTCCCTCAGTCTACCACATGTGGAAGGAGAGATGAGGGCGCCATCAGTAGAGTTTGATGGAGATGGAAAAGTCAAGATGAAAAAACCTAAAATCAAATTGCCTTCATTTGGAATATCCCGAAAGGATACAAATGTATCAGTCTCCTGTCCTGATGTTGATGTTAAAGCTAAAAAAGGAAAAATAGACATTCCTAAACCCGACATCAATGCTGAGAGCCCGGAAGACAAGACTAAATACAGAATGAAGTTCCCCAAATTCAAGCTATCGACACCAAAAGTTCAGCTCCCTGAAGCAAAGGCTGGTGCCAAAGTGGAAGCAGAGGCAGAGGGCAAAGGAGGCCTTCATGGACCTGATGTCAATGTCAAACTACCAAAGTTCTCCGTGCCAGGATTTGGCTCGAAAGAAAAAGAATTTGATAAACCAAGTGTTGAACTAGAAAGTAAGGCCAAGATCAAGATGCCATCTGTTGAGCTGTCTTTACCAGCAGCTAAAACACCGGAGACAGAGGTTCTTCTCCCGAAAGCAGAGGTGGACGTTTCAGGTGCAGATATTAAAGGCTACGAGGGAAACCTAAAAATTCCTAAGATTCCAACAGTAGACGTTTCCATTCCAGAAATTGACTTGCATATGTCTCTGCCAAAAGGAAAGTCCCCAAAGATTGAAGGACCAGATGTAGAGCTAAAAGGAGGCGAAGGTAAATTCAAAATGCCTCAAATAACAATGCCAACAATAGATGTGTCCCTCCCCAAAGCAAAATTTGGAGATGTCCATCCAGCAGATGTTGAAGCAGGTCTAGACGGAGGTAAATTCAAAATGCCTTATGTCAAAATGCCAAATGTTGATATCACCTTACCAAAAGCAAAAAAGACTCCAGATGTTGATGTGGAAGGAGGAGGTGGCACATTCAGAACAGCAGGGATCAAAATGCCAAATGTTGGAATAGGAAAGACTGAGAAATTAGAAGGACCGGATGTTGATATCAAAGGCAGCGGAAAGTTAAAGATGCCTCATATCAAAATGCCTCATGTTGACATCAACCTTCCAAAAATGAAAACCCCAGAGGTTGATACATCTGGTATGCAGGCAAAGCCACAAATTAGTTTGCCGTCAGCAGACATTTCACTGCCTAAAGGGAAGATGGAGGGTGCTGATGTGGATATCAAAGCAGAAGGTGGAAAATTCAAGATGCCCTCTGTTGATATTTCACTTCCTAAAGGGAGAATTGAAGGTCCAGATGTGGAGGTGGAGGGAAGCTCTGGAGGGAAATTCAAAATTCCTCACTTGAAAATGCCAAATGTTGACATCTCTCTGCCCAAAGGAAAAACAGAAGGTCCAGAAGTGGAGCTCCAAGGAGAGAAAGGAACCTTTCAGATGCCGCACATCTCTATGCCCTCTGTTGATTTTTCTCTCCCCAGAGGAAGAGTTGGAGGTCCAGATGTGGAAGCAGGGGGAGATGGAGGTGGAAAATTCAAAATGCCATCCATGAAAATGCCCACAGTTGATGTTTCTATGACAGAAGGAAAAGTTGAAGATCCAGATGTTGAAATAAAGGGAAATGTGGAAGGGAAATTCAAAATGCCGAATGTTGACTTCTCTATGCCCAAAGGAAAAAGTGGTCCAGAGGTGGAGCTTAAAGGGGAAGGTGGAAAATATAAGATGCCACACTTGAGTGGGCCTTCGGTTGATATTTCATCACCAAAAGGCCCAGAGGTGGATATGGGAGGAACAGATTGGAAATTTAAAATGCCTCACATGAAAATGCCAAATGTTGACATCTCTCTACCCAAAGGAAAATCTGGGAAAATCAGCGGACCAGAGCTGGAGTTTGAGGGAGCCGAATCAAAAATGCCCTCTGTTGATATTTCACTGCCAAAAGGAAGAACTGAAGGTCTCAGTCCAGATGTCAAAGTGGAGGGAGGAACATTCAAGATGCCCAAAGTTGACCTATCTCTGCCAAAGGGAAGTGCCTCACTGGACAGTCCAGATGTGTCCATTAAAGGTGGCGAGGCGAAGCTCAAAATGCCAAGGGTAGACATGTCTGTCCAAAAAGGAAAAACAAACTTCGACAAACCTGAATTGAGTATGGAGGCAGAGGGGGGAAACATCACACTCCCACACATGAAGATGCCACAAGTTGACATCTCGCTGCCTAAAGGTGAAACTTATAAAGGACCTGATGTAGAGATGGGAATAACACATCCAGATGTTAAACCTGTAAAGGGAGGAATATCAGTGCCAAAGGCTAAAATCTCTGGAGCAGAAATAAACTTGCCAACCATTGAGGCAGAAGGCAAATCACCTGGGAACACGGGGGCTCTGACACTGAAAATGCCCACAATAGATATCAAAGGTCCCAAAGGAGACCTTGAGCTTGATATCGGCCTTCACAGAGGAGAAGGGAAGAAGGACAAGAAAAAAGCTGAACCACCTGACCTGGATTTGAACGCATCAGGAGCGAGTGGAAAAGCAAAGGGAGCCAAAGTCAAAGGACCAAAATTCAAGATCGGAAAGCAGAAAAAGAAAACTGGTGGCGGTTCGTCGGCAGAAGTTGAACACAACGGCCATGGAGATGTTAAGGTCCACACACCGGCAACGACTCTGCCAGATGTTGGTCTGAAAACTGGAACGGGGGCAGAAGGAGGCCACGCAGAGATCAAAGTCCCCAAGATACCAGACATAGAGTTTGATATTGGAACATCTCATGGAGGAGATGAGGATCAAACGGAGCCGGGACAGAAAGTCAAAATCCCAAAGTTCGGCGTCCCATTACCCTCGCTGTCCTCCCCAGAGAGGCAGGTAAACATCTATGGGCAGGAGATAGAGTACGAAGGCCCCAAAATGCCCAAAGTAAAGAAAGCTGTTTTTGTCCTGGTAAATCCTCCTGAAACTGAAGGGCACGCTTCAAACAAAGGCCTCCAGAGAGGAGAAATCAAAGCTGAGGCCGAGACAGAGGGCGCCAAAGTGAAGGCGCCCAAAATCAAAATGAAGCCGAGCTTCGGGAAGTCCAAAGACAAGTCAGCGGCAGAGGGTAGAGAAAGGGGAGAGGAAGAGGAGAAGTCAAAGGGAGGGAAGATGAAGATGCCCAAGGTTTCATTTTCCGGCAAATCGGGATCGTTTGATGTGACTTCAAAGGAAGACAGTCCGAGCCTGAGTCTCAACGGAGAAAAGGGTTCAAAGGATAGCAGAGGGACTTTCAGTGGTAAAATCAAACTTCCAAAGGTGGAGTTCACCAGTCCGTACGGGAAGACGGCGCCCGGCGAGGAGGACGCAGACGCCAGCACAAAGCTCGGGAAGGACTCGTCGCCAAGAGAAGCGAGAGGAGGCAAAATGGCCGCCGTTGCGGTTTCCACCCCAGAGTCTCCGAAGGAGGTGGTTTCCTCTCAGGCCCGGACGGAGATGCTGGACAGGGACAGCTCCGAGTCGCCTTCGGGCCCCGGCTCGACGGGGGTCTGGACGGAGGCCGAGGAAAGGGAGTCGTCCTCCTGGTTCAGAGTCCCGAAGTTCACCCTGAAGCCGCACTCCTCAGGTGACCCCACGCCCGGCCGTCTTTCCACTGGTCCATACCTTTGATGTGATTCCAGCCCATTAACGTGTCCTTTTCCCTGGTTTTTCCTCAGACTAAGTTTCTTTTCCCTCTTGGTTTCTCCTTGTCTGCCTGTCCCTTTTCTTGTCCGTCCTCTGTTTCCTGTTTCCGGCCCCCCCCCCCCCCCGGCAGGCTTCCTCCAGATCACCCCGGAGGGGTCCCCCCGGGCCCAGCGGGGGGGCGAGCTGGGCGCCGACGTCTCCGGGGTCTTCTGCCTCCACACCTCCTCCCAGCTGGGCCTCACCAGCCAGCAGACGTCCGAGGAGCGCCACGTCTCCTCGACGGAGGAGGGAACCGTCACCATGACGACCAGGACCACCAGGATCACCCGGCAGGTCGTGACCAGCGAATCGCGGGCGGGCGAGACGACCACGACCACGACGACTCGCCAGGCGCCGGACTTTGACTACTGAGGATGAAGCCACACTGACATCTTCTGGTTTCTTCTTCTTCTGGTTTCTTTGTTGTTGAGTTTTTAGTTCTGGTGAGCTTGCGGTGGTCTTGTGAACTCTGCCTGTAATTGAGTCTCCACTTTCTTTTTGAATAGTTTAGTCGTGAATCGGAGGGAAAACGGTGAGAGTTCATCACCCAGCGTTAATGTCCTGCTTACAACAAGAGAGTAATATATATATCCTTTTTTTCATTTCCATGTGACTTTTTTTGTTACTTTGAGTTTTGTTAGTTTAGTCTAAATTATTTATCCAGTTTCCTTTGGTAAAGAGGTCTTTTTGCTTGGGTATTTATAATTGTTTGTGTTATTGAGACGCACTGGGGGTATTTATTTGCTCACATCACCCTAATGGATTAGGTCACGCTATGAAGGCTAGTTCATGATAACCTGGTTTTGATTGACTATCGCACAGGTCAGAGTCATGTTAATGTAAATATATCCATATTGCAGCTTTTCTAAGCAGTTTTCCTTCAATCTTAAATGTAATTATTTTCATATTCACCCAAGTCTGGAGGAGAAGTAGTTTGTTTTTCTTTTTTGAACTGATTCTGTCGTGGCTTTTTTTTTTCCCAGAGTCGGTCACTGAGACCAGCTCTGTTTTTTTTCTGCTGTGGGGATCAAACTCGCAACCTTCTGGATGCGGATTGTTCTCGAACATTTAGGCCAAGCTGCTGCTAATCCATTTTTATATTCATGTTCTTACTGTACACTGCCTGGAAAGTACACTGCTGTATATTTTCTGAATGGGGCCGATATAACCAGCGCTGTGGGACGGTTATATTGGTCATGAATTGCGCTCATTGAGTTTCAAGGCATCATAAAGTGGGCCGGTGTGAGTTTGGGGGATTAAAATAGGGAATTTTTAGTGGTAAAATTGTTAATTATGTGCTTTGGAGAGAGAATTCGTTGCAACGAGGCTGCTGCAGTGAGATTAGTAAAGGAGCGGCTAGCCTTGATGAATGTGTTACAAAACGTGTCCTCTGCTAGTCAGCGATAGAGGACAAAAAAAAAACTAGATTTTTCTTCATCAAAATTGATTTAATGAGATATTTTGATTCATAGTCTGAAAATAAAGCCAAAATCATTTTATAGAGTGCCTTGAACCCCTTTATTTCCCTTGATTTAAAGAGGAATTTGTGCCAAAATGTAAGAAGAAAAGACAAACGGCATTTTAAGTCACTCGCTGCTCGAGAGGGGAAAGAATCAACTTAATGTATCTGGGTAGAAAATTATAGAAAAATCCGGTTGTACAACATTTGGGAACGAGCGGCCTACTTTTCAATTCACTTGGTTTACGTTATTTGGTGTGTAAACGGAATTAATTTGTGTGATAAAGTGCATGAAAAAGTCTGGATTGACCCCCTCCTGGGTTGTTTCACTGATGTCTTTCACAGATACTAAAGAATTAGGCCTGAAAACCAGGAACACGAGAGGTGATATGTCCCAGTAACACACACCGAGTGGTATCTACTGTATTTGTATAGAGATTTTTACCTTTGTGGTTTAATAAAGTCTTTCAGTTTATTTAGATTTGGGGGATTTTGGTGCCGAGTTTTCTTTTTCTTTTGTCAGAACTGCATTTAAGAGAATATAAAATGTTACATGAATAAAGTAATATTCACACTGAAATGCTCCTTTTTCTGTTGTTATTGGGAAATGTGAGGCAGACTTAAGTCGGTGACACCTTCAAGAGGTGGTTTGGTCTTCTGACTTCCATCTGTCTTTTGGGAGGAATTTTAAGATGGGAAGAAGCAGATAGTGGATTGCATCATCTTGCAGGAAAGTACAAAGGCAGGATGTGGAGTGGCGATAAATCTGAGCTGTTTCTATATAAAACACAGAAAAAAGCCGGAGTAATCTTTCATGGTTTTGCGTAATGTTCTGTTGGGACTCTGGGGAGTGATGTCTGATCACAAATCAGGCTCAGCCAATTGATAAAGACAAGTGTGTTTATGTGATAGAACACTCAAAAGTCTCACGTCTTTCATTTTAAGGAATAAATTCTCTAAATGCTCCCCAATTTTGTAGGTATTTTTCAGAATATCTTCAGACTTTTTTAAACCCTCTCATGTCTCTGACCTGTTTCCAATCTACAGAATAGTTTTCAGCCTTTAATTCTCCCAGTCTCTCTCTCTTTTATTCTATTTTAGGCATGATCTTGCCATGAAATTCAAGATGAGCTTTTCCTGGAAAGAGGAAGAGAACATGAATCGAGAGGGAGAGGAAGGAAGGGCGCGCACATTAAAACGGCACGCGTGGCTCCATGACGTCTTTCCATTGTGTCTGTTTGTGATTTCCAATATTCATCAGCCAGGATGACGCTGGGAGACGTAAGCAGGCCAGTGTGGGGTGGGGGGGGGGCTGGCAGACAGCATGTATGAGGGGTGAACAGTGCGGCATTGCTGCAGCACACACTCCTATCAGCCAAAACATTATGACCACCCACATCCGGCTCACTG